CTCTGGGTCCGAGTCTGGACGTGATGGCCAATGTCACTTTAGTGTCGTCTATTTTGCCGGGGGGGGTTCCAGTTCCAGTTCGAGTTCCAGTTCCAGTGGGGTACACTATGCAGAAGCCCAACAGCATGCTGAAGTGGTTTTGGCAATCTTGCAATAATACTGTGACAATGCCACGGGATTGCACACTATCACAGGACTGCCGTATGGTTACTTTTCTTTGCGATCCATGTCTCTTCTTGTGCGTTTAACTGAAGAAGCCATGTTTAAACTGAAGGCATGACGTACCTGAGGTTTGGTGCTGTGTGATGACATGGTGGCAACTTATCTTCGCAAAGGGTCTGTCCGTCTGTCTGCCTGCCTGCCTGCCTGGGCTGGCTGGCTGGCTGGCTGGCTGGCTGTCTCTCTGTCTGGCTGGCTGTCTGTCTCTGTCTCTGTCTCTGTCTGTGTCTGTGTCTGTGTCTCTGTGTCTGTGTCTGCGTCTCTGTCTCTGTCTCTGTCTCTGTCTCTGTCTCTGTCTCTGTCTCTGTCTGTCTGTCTCTCCTCACTCTCTCCTCTCTCTCTGCCAAGATTGCAAATATTGCGAATATTGTGAGCAATCTTCGTGGGGCAGTCCGTCGGCTAATTCAAAATGTTGTCTCGTGTTCTCCCACTTCTTCTCTTTCAATCATCAATCCATCGAACGCTATATCCATCCATCCATGAACCTATTATTCATGGCCGAGGCCGCTAGATGCCAAGGCCCAAGTCAAGCCTAAACCGCTCAGCACCAAGGGTTTGAGATGATGAACTGCACAACTTCCCCAGCAATTCCTACCAAAATCAGTTGGGAGGAGACAAGCCTAGGATGAGCTTCAATTAGTTTGACATTTGGGCTGAGGCGAGTGGCAAACACAGCCCTGAAGACATGGAGGTTGACTTATTTGCAAGGCAAACGGGCAAACTTCCCTTTGCTGGTGAAAACACATCATTTTTAAAAGGCACCACCCACCTATCTCCAGGTCACCCGTTCATGCACCCATTGGATATCTATGTCCATCTTTCTCTATCTCTACCTCCGTGTCTGTTTCTTGGTCCTTTTTGCCAAAGCTCCGCGAAGTCTATTAAGCCAGGTCAGATTGTTGCAGGTAGGGAGAAAGATACAGAGATAGAGAGGGAGAGTGACCCAACTTGTTTCACTTGCCCCAAAAATGAAAGATCAGGTAAACTAAGCGAAAGAAAGAAAGAAAAAAAGAAAGAAAGGCTCAAGCATCTCGGCTCGAGCTTCTCCACCGCCCTTGCTTGGGCACTACACGCGAACGTTCACGAAGCTCTTGAGTCCGAGATCGGTGGCCTCTGCGGGCTCTACCACCTCGAGATCTTGGTCATGGAGTGGCCCATGAAGCCTATGCAGAGAGCCTACCAGGTGTGCGCCAACACCGGCTGTCACAATTGGATATGGTGTGGGTGTGACAAGGTGCAGCAAGGCTTCACATGCCGACGATGCGGAAATGAATGGCATCGACCTTAAGAGGGATTTGCTTCGAAGAAGTTGCAGACCAAGCCAGCAGCTCAATGGCAGAGTTCCCGCTTCAACAGACCTTCTCCTCCTCCTGGGCTAGGTAGGCCAAGATCGCCCAAACCCTCCAAGCCTCAAAAGGCAGCTTCGGAGATCTTAGCACCTTGGGAAACTTTGGCTGAACAGCTCTGGGCCAAGTTGACGGAACTTGGCGTCACACCAGAGGTCAAGCCAGCTGAGCCTGACTTGAAAGATGTCCTTCAAGAGAACTTGTCCAAACTCCCCACTCCTGTTCGGGAGTTGGTTGAGATCATCACAACTCCTCCTCCTGAATCCAAACGAGAAGTGGCAGGTGGCTTGAAGCAGCAAGTTTCGGCCCTGAAAGATCTCTCACGCAAAAGCACGCCCTTCAAAACCGCCTTGATGCCACAAAGCGGGCCTTCCAAGAACTTTTGGAGGAGATGAAGTCCACCCAATCCGAGATTGAACAAGAGCAAGCCGCCTTGAATCAAACAAGTGCGTTCTACATGTCCATGGTGAATGCAGGAGCTCCACCAGCGTCCTTGCAGCCTGATGTCACTATGACAGACCCAGTACCAGAAGCTGTAGCTGGCTTTATTAGCACGCTTGGCGTAAGTCTCACACCTGAGCAAAAGGACCAGCTCCAAGTCATGTTAAAGAGACCGCAGCAGGACACCACGGAGAAAGCCAAACGCCGCAAGACCGAGGGGCCCCAAGGATGACCATCATCCAACAGCTCATTGAGGCCCAAGACGAGCCTCAAGCAGGTGTGCACTTCCTCAAGTTGGAGAAAGCGTACCTTCGCTGCGCTCAATGTCGTGCCTACGTGCTGGCACGCACCAACGAGCAAGCCTTTGAGGCCTTTGTCGGAGAGACATGCCACAGCGGACCACTACCTCCAGCCACGTGGAATGGGCACCGATCACACGTGATGATCAGGTGCGGAGCGGCTGCTGAGTGCTCCCGCTGTCTGGCTAGAGGCCGGATTGTAGAGGATGTGGTGTTCATCAGCAAGAGACTGAAAGACCCATGCCCAGCGAGCTCCCAAGATCTCCGCCGGATGTTCAGCTCGTGAGCACACAGTTGCACTGGAAAAGTCCGTGCAAAAAAAAAAGAAAGAAAGAGCGAGCGAACGACCGACCGACCGAACGAACGAACGAACGACCGAGCGATCAAACAACCGAAACAGAGCGAACGACCGAAACCGAACGATCGAACGAACAAAAGAATGAAAGAGAAACAAGGAAGACAAGGAAGAGAAACCATGCGGTCTGTGGTGTGGTTTAATGCGGTCGGGGATGCAAGTGCACTGCAATACGATCCAAAGCAACGTGTCAGAGAGCGCCTGCGTCTCTGGCCCTTTACGCAAGGAGATGACACGGTCCGGCTGTGCTATGAGTTTTAGCACACGGCCAGCTCCGCGTTGACTTGCGCTGGGTTTCTCAATGGCTTCCAATTGAACAGTGAACAAGCTGAGGTTTCCTGTTTTCCCTGTTGTCCTTTGACGCCTGTGGCCCGACGAATGCGCAAGCAGCCAAAGCCCCAGC